TCGGGAGCAGCCCCACGTCTCTCAGTACATGTTTCTCAGCAACTTAATCACCAGCAAACTCGCCAGCCTCCTACACCACTTTGCTGTGTGACCTAGCAGGCGATTGCCACCTCTCCTCCAAAATAAAAGCCTGTTCAGCATGCAGCTGAGCTCCATGTGCCCCCTGTGCCTGCCTGCTCACACCCCTCCCCTTCCACGTTTGAGAATTTCAGAGTAGGTATTTATTTTGTAAATAAAACGCTTATTTACAAAGCTGTTAAAGGGGACTAAAGTGCCTCTTGTCCATTTATACTTTCCACGAGGATGTACTACCAGTTAATGGTGTTCATTCAAATACCACTCGGACATTACTGCTCTCTCAGCTCCCACACACGTGGAGGTATTTATTTGCTTTTTTCATGCCCTAAAAATGCTGAGTCAATGAAATCAATCTTTTATTTCACTTGGTATTTCAACTTGAGAACTGTATTAATAGAGAGCAAGCCATAATGGAAATTTAATTACACAAGGACGTATGAAGGCAAAAAAGCACAGTGCAGCATTTACTGGTTCAAAACATCTGTTATCCTGGACAGCTGTTCCTCCTTCCCGTCTGCAATTCCACTGCTTGGATGTGTGTTGACAAACAAACAATATTCCACCCTCAGATACATGGCATCACTTGGCAAATGTGGGTGATTTTCCTTCATATAATAAATATCAAAATAGCTTCCAATGACTCAGCTTTATTACCAGCAAAGCTCAGGAATCTAAAATAGTTCCAGTTTTCATCTATTTAACTCCAAGTTCTCCACTTCACAAACAGAATCCATTTAGTAAATAGCGTATTTGTCTTATACATCCTCCCAAATATAGAAGTAGCTCTACTGAAAAGTAGCATTGCTCCCTCTTCATAGGTTTTCAGTAACTGAAATTATGCATCTTTTATTTTAGCACTGTTTTAATTAACTTGCTTACTCTTAAAACACTCACTCATGCAGTCAGCTACCAAAACTGCATCCTCCCCTCACCTTACTCCACGCAAGTATCCACGGGGGAGAGATCTCAGCTCCAGAATTCTGGCTTTAAGATCTCCTGCTTTGATTTCCTTCTAGCCCAAGAGCACTACCACCTCCACTGTCCCTAAATCTTGCTCTTTGAGTCAAAATTCAACAAAAAGGTTTAATGCCCTCCTTGTCCACAGGAACACCACTGCAATATCCCTTCATGCACAAATATAAATGCAGCTCCCAAAAAACTGTGTGACTTCCATAAAAAAATAAATGTTTACATCAAAGAGCATACTATTAGGATATCACAATGATCAAAAGCATAAAAAACACACCTAAACATTTTGACTGAAAATAGCTTTGGTTTGGGTAATTGATTCTTATCAGCCTGTATTTTTCAGTAATTATTTTATTGTTAACCTGTACTGAAATTTGATTATAAACTCTTCTGGAGTCCAAGTGTGATTCAAAGTAAACTCAAATCTATGGAAAATATGTACAGTTTATGTTGAGGTCCTTCCAGATAATACCAAGGAAACCCACATAGCATGAATTTCTTGGAACCTCTGTCCAATAGCCTCTCTCTGTATCACATCCAACTAAAGATCATCACACAATGCCACTCAAAGACAGCAGCTGACTAGCTGGCAATTACTGGCTCTTTCATGCTGAAAATGTATTTGTCCCAGGGGAATAAGGCATCTGCATAATTAGCAAAAGCAGTTACACAGAAAATAATTAGCTTGCTGAAAGCCCAAAGGGGGAAAAACTATAATTTTTGCTTCAAGAGGCTGACTAATTATATGCCAAGAAACAAAACAGAGATGCACTGAGAATCATCGAGAAATCCAGCATGGATTTTAACTTCATATTCTAGCTATAAGGGCTGCTGGTAGCCTAGCAACAAGCAGCATACTTGGGCATGCCAAATCCTCCTCTGACTTAATGAAACACCTCAGATTACTATGCAAACCTCCTCCACCCCACTATGATTCTTGTGTTACTAAATGATAAAAACAAACCCTAGCCAAAAAAACAATCAAACGATTCAAGATAAACTCAATTAAGCACTAATGGACTACAGTATAGAAAGATAAGCAAAAACAAAACATGAATTATTTTCAGAGACTTGAAATTCACAGTCTGACTAGAGTTGATTCATTAGATTTCTTCTGCGGGTTAAGAAAATGTCCGATTATCTTAAGCAACTTTTCTAGTCGTCTGCATAAGATTCCTGTTCATTTGTGTCTGGGGAACCACTAGATGTGAAATCTTTAACAAGTTAGAGCAACTCACTAATCTCCAAAGTACTCCTGATATACAAACAGCGCTGCTGCAATTCCTTCCTTTTACCTGAATCCTCAGTGAGCTGGTAGAGGAAACTGTTATCCCAAACCGGAGTCTCAGAGCCAAGAGACCAGTTTTTACTGTGTTCCACCATTCCAGAAGCCACAGCTGCTGTCCCAACTGCCCAGTACCACTGTGTTCTGTGATAAGAGAGGTTTTGACAACCACTTTGAAGTCTCGCTGTGATTAGCACAACTCTGGTGCTCAGTTGTGAGTGACCTTTCAGCCAAAAGCCTGCTCTTGGTTACCCACAAGAGAAGCACATTCACACACCCATCAACCACTCTGCCAGACTCAAAGGGTTATCAAGACTGAGCTATTCCCACTATTTCCTGAGAAAGACAAATCTTTTACACGTGCATTATCTATCACCATCCTCCCTGGTGACTGACAACTGCTGAAAGTGTCACCTTTGTTCAGAAAGTATCAGGGACACAAGAAACCTGACAAAGTTAGCTTGTCTTTCACAGGCCACAATAAACTTGTGACTGTGGGTGAAGATAAGTCTCTTTTTGCTGGCTTACACAACCTCAAAGAGATAAAGTGAAAGTTGCAAAGAGCTGTTGACACACGAGATAGGACGAGCATGTAAAGCTGTATTTGTGTGAGCTTGGAGGGTAGGGAAGAAGCAACAAACAAGCCTATGGCACTAAGGGAAACTGAACCCTCCCCTCAAACACACACAAAAGATGTTAATAAGTAATGTTGTCATTACTGGCTTCACAAATGAGAACTACTTTAATTCTGCAACTATAGAGGTTTTCATTTCTAGGGAAGATGAAAAGGTTCTTGCAACACAGGAGATCCAAGGCTGTGCTCTCTCTGACCCTTAACACTCCTCCACTCTCCCTTTTCCCCCAGGCTACCTTTTTGTCTCAATGTTCATACAGGAGATTCTGCTGAGGAGAAATCCTACCACACACACAAGACTCCAGGGATTGCATCCTGCCACAGCACAAGCAAGAACAGTGAGACATCAGAAAAATCAGGTTAAACAGAAAGAAGAATACAGGAGTACTTGTGTTGGGAAGTACTGAAAGACTGTCCATGGAGTCAAGTTCAGAAGATAGGGATCACATAAGGTCTCAGGACCTCGATGCACAAAAAGGGTAAATCTTGCACTGAAACGGTGACAAAGGGGTATAAAAGAAAAAAAATCATTTCAATGAAGCCTAAAAGCAGAAGACCCGATACACACCAATGCTTTAGATGTAGCAATACATCTCAGATAACAAGTCTGCCTCCTAGAAACACCGAAGAACAGCAATCTACATAATACAATGATGCATCAAATTGCTTTTGCTTTTTTTGAAAGCCCATTCTATTCCACTGCTAACAAGAGAAAAATCCCACCTTAGCCTAGCCAAGTGGAAAGCAAGGAAGTTGAATCAGCAGTAAATGTATTTCAGTTTGAGTAAGGGTTTCAGAGAAATCACCTGGGAGGTTGGGAACCTAAACAAGTTTGCTAAAGGATTAAATATTTACTCCCCCTCCCACTTGTTAAAAAAGAACACGAACATTTGTTTCTCAGCTGTATTTTTTTAGCCCTGTAAGCCTCATCCACCTGTACAGACAAAATACTCCTGCATTTTGCAAAAGTGTAATTTTAACCCATTCCATCACAGAGGAACCTGTACTAGACCTTCATAATTCTCAAACATACAAGATAGTACATCACATTTCTATAACCTCAGGATTTTCAAATCAGTTAATTTTATTGTTTCTGCAGGGATGAAGTTTCCTGTGTTGTAAAATGGTTATGGCAAGAAGAATAGTGCCCAGAAGTGAAAAGGTATTTTTTCCTATTTAAAAGTGAAAACACCTCTCTGCTCTCTTGACTTCCCAGAGCCTGGTGGGAATGAGTGGGACATCATCTCCCCTGCTCCTGGCCTTGCCGAGGGTGTCAGCTTGATAGGAACCCACAGTGCTGAACTCAGGTTCTTTATCTGCTCTACTCAACTCTACTCAATGCAGAAAGATGCATTTCCTCACCAAGAATTCTCACAAAAATCTGTTGTTAAACAAGGTGTAATACCTACTAAAATTACTTCCTAGCTCTTAAGCTTATCTGTAAACACAGTAGCAAACAGCTGTTATTACAGTAAGCAAAATACTAGTCTCAGACAAGGCAGACAGAATTAAGGCTCTGATAAAGGTCTTTGGCTATTAGTCCTAAACAGACAAAATATGCAAACTTAGTGTTCTGGCTTGAGACATATTTGAGAGGAACTCCAGGACCCTTAGAAACTGCAAAATACCAACATAAGCTTTAAACAGAACACTGCTGCATTATTGTGTACACTCTCTGTGCCTCTTAGGGCATTAAACTGAAAAGGCAATTCTTCTCTGAAATTACTATTTAATTTTCTTTATGAACCATGCACATGGACTTGAGAACAGGAGGTGTATTTCCCTAATGTAACTCAATAGGAAGACAGCTATAGACCACCTTCTCTCCTTGAAACTTCCTTATCCTTCTGATACAAGAAGACAGCAAACAAACTGAACACCCATTTTATTTGTTGCAAAAGCACTGTGTATATTTCTGAACAGTCACCATACCTGCTTCTCCTAAGAGAATGCTTGCTGTATATCCATTTGAATGCCTCACCAGTTGAAAATTGCTAAAAGCACCAAAAAGAGAATACAAGCACTTCTACTCACCAACTGAAGTCTGGACCATGTTTCCAGATTTTTGGACCTCATCGAATTTCGTAAAAATTACATTCAACCTGTTTGAGAGAAACACATCATGAATGACTTAATTTAAATTTTAGGAATATTAGAATCATAAAACCACTAAGGTTGGAAAAGACCTCTAAGACCATCGAGTTCAACCTTTAACCCAGCACCACCGTGTTTACTACTAAACCATGTCCTCACATGCCATATCCACATGGCTTTTGAACACTTCCAGGGATGTGATTCCACCTCTTCCCTGGGCAGCCAAATTCTAATATGTTATGAGGCAATAGAACAGATTTGGCTTCACTCAGGTCATTTGGAGCACTGTCAAAAACGTCAGCAGAAAATGTCAATGCAAGGAAGTTATTTAAAATTTAAAAACCCAACATCAACATACAACAGTTGAAAAGAAAACCTGAGATATAATTGAAAATGCTACATTACCAAAGATGTGATATGGCTAATTGTAGATGCACTTCCAGTTCATCAGCATTTTATCTTAACTATTTGCAGAAATACCGTAAAAAAATCAAAAAACCCTCCCCAAAAAAAACCCCAAAAACAAAAAGCAAAAAAACAAAACAAAACAAACAAAAAAAAACCCCAAAAAACAAAAAACAAAAAACAAAAAAACCCCAAACCAACTTGACACAACATTAGTCTTTGGCCCTGACACATTCCCATTTATGTCACAGGCCTAGCCGAGCAGAAGATCCTTATCACATCTCATCATTCCTTCCCAGTGAGTTTATTACTTTAAGGCACATTGTGGGAGCAGACGTTTCCACTGGAGAACAAGAGGCAACAGTGCTGCCTCCACCTGCATGTATCCCAACTCTAAAACCACCTCTTCCCTCTGAGCACTGACAAGCTGCATCTGCTCCTCAGGTCTAACCAAGCTCTGCCCTGAGCACTGCAGATGCAGAGCAGTTTTCTAACACACCTGAAACGGCAGAAGCAGAGGGGCGTGGCTTTAATTTTGACATAGGTTTGGTTGCTTTTTGTTTGAGGTTTTGGTGGGAGTTTTCCGGAGGGAGGGAGGCTCCTTTTTTCTAAATAAAATCTTAAAATTGATTATTTTGTTTGTCGGTTTTTATTGTTTATGACAGCCTAAGTTGCATAAACACAAGCTACTCTGAAGCATCTCCTCCCTACATATGCAGAACATACAAGAAAAATATTAAATCCCTTAATCTTAAATCCGTTAACTCAACATTTGTAAAAATTTTTGTAGTTTTCCAAAGATGCTGCAACATACTTTGGCAAAGGTACAGGATCTGCATTAAGTAAATCTGAGTGTTTACCATAACAAAAAATAAAAAATGAAATGATCCCAGGAAAAGGTTCAATCATTAGGCTCCCGAAGTCTTCTGAAGGAAGGAAGGGAATAAAAAGCAGCCCAAAAATAGTGAAGACCTAACGAAGGACATTCTCAACTTACCGAGATTGGGGTAATCCTTTTTTACTGAGATCAGCCCTTACACGTTCACCAACATGTCTGTAAATTTCCACAAGGCTGTTTATTGCTGCATCTCGAACCTGGACGTGAGAGATGAGAGAAATCAATTATCTTTACAATTAAAATTAGTAAATTCCTAATACATCCTACTTCAGAAAACTAAATTTCTTTATTTCTCAGCAACAACAGCTGCCACTATACACATTACCACACATTTCATGAAGGAACTTCCAACCCTGCCTTTCACATGTTAACAGTATCAGTGGGTAATTGAATTGAGAAGCCAAGGAAGGTGTAAGATGAAAGGTTTCCTGCAGAAGGAGCTTGGCTGCCTTTGCCAAACTCCTCCCATTGTGTACAACAGGTACATTTACTGGATAAAGAAAGGATCGACACGCAAACAGACCTTATATTACTGAGATATTATACAATACACTGATTTTTAATGCTGTTTTAAAAACTTACATTTCTATGTTGATAGCAAAACAGGGAGGAGTAATCAATTACCTGAGTCACCATGAATTTTGCATATTTTCCAAACTGATTTGCAAGAAATTGCTGAGCACATCCTTTCCTCCAGCCAACAGAAGAGACACAAATCTGATTAAAGTGTCACCTTTCTGTACTAAAACCCTTCCTCCACTAGGCACAGCAGGCAAAGAACGTAAACAAACTCTCTGCTCTGCCTACAGAAACACCCAGAGAGAGCTGTGCACTTCAGCTTCTCAGAAGATGGCCCAGCACCTCCAGGACTAGACATGGAATATCCTGAGGACACAAGCTAGAATTGCCTATAGGTGGGAGCTGAAGGGCAGGCACACATACCCTGCCTCCCAGTCAAAGAAAACCCAAACACTTGACTCTCCCCATCCTCCTGCCCAGCAGGTCCCTGCCAGCCTCCAAACCCCTCCTGCACTCACACCAGCCTTTACTCAGTGCTCTTGCCTCTGTTTCCAGCCCATCAGCCCCATCTGCTACCAACACTGCTGGGCACAGCAGTCTGTGGGGACTCTTTGGTGCCTCCAGTTTCTGGGAACACAGACCCCAACCCAGCCTGTGCAGAGCAAGGATTGCCCCTCTGGGACAGTTATGCAGAGGCACAGCTGCAGGACTCTGTACATCCCAAAGAGCAAGGCAAGGAGCCCCCATCATCATACTTGGTATAGTCTACCACAGCAAGAACAAAGCTTTAGTAATTTTATTTTTGAGAAAATGATCAGAGTTTAAGTACTATTTCTGAAAAGGGCTCTAATGGAATGGCTTCCACATCCACAACAAAAGAAAAAAAACTGGATTCGGCCTGGAATTGTTTCTCGATGCTCTCTCCAAGAGAGGGCAGCAGTGGCCAAGCCCAGCAAGCCTCCAGCGCTCAGGAGGCACCAGCAGCACAGCAGCAGCTCCAAGGGAACCCAGGACCAGCCCCTGCCCCAGGGCAGGCACTGTTTCACCCAGAGCCACTGGCACAGCGATTTTTGTCTGACCAATTCAAGCACAGGCTTTCTGGGGATGAGGAACCAGACCCAGGAGAAAGGGAAAGAGATCAGCTTTGTTTCCCCTTGCAGCTGGATTACAGGACAATGAGCTGTGCCCGACACAGGAAGAAGCAGCACAGAAGGAAAATTTCTCAAGCCCTAAACCCAAGATTGCCTTGAAGGGTAACAGCTTGCTTAGTCCCAGCTCAGAACTACAGAGGACCCTAAACAGTAAATTTCTTGCAGTAATAGGTTTGCCATCCTGTACTGGCATAAGCAGCAAGGGAAGGCTGCTTCACTCTCAGTCCTCCTCTTAGCAAGGGGAGGCCCTGACAGCCACAGTAATATGGCCAACTCCCCGGAGCAAACATGAACCCATTCTCCAGCTGGACACCCACACCTCCTTCCAGCTGAACACCCTCTCCAGACCTGGATCACAGATGTGTCACTCATGCTGGCTTAACGACCAATAGTATTATTCAAAAGCTACTAGTACACATTACACAACGAGTTTGAACAGTACTTCTCCACCTCCCTATTCTCACTAACCCCACATACTTGCATCTAATTCCAAACAAGACAAAAAGCACTTAGGAGCAACAGATTTTATTCCACTTGTATTTTCATTTTCACTGATTAAAGGTCCTGGTGCAGATTGCCTCCACCCCCTATTCAGAAACTGCCTGTACAATTTCTGGCAGTGCACATGGCCAGGCTGTCTGACTGGCCCCATTTGCCCTCCCCGCCCAGACTGGTTTCTCTCTGAAGGTGAGGGGTGCTGCACTGAGCCCAGAGGGATCCCTGCAGCATCCTCTGTATTCAGGCTCCAAGGCACAGGAGTTCCCTTCCCACAAAGGTTTCTCTCTTCTGTTTATCTCACCTGCAGATTCATGTTGTTCTGCTGAACCCTTGGAGTAACTAATATGCTGGTTTGGACATAATTCACATTATACCTCTCCAAAACCAGCCAAGGGTTCTGTGTGCACAGCATTGTTCAGAGCTCACCAGCAGCAGCACAATTAGCTCATTTAACAACAAGGCAACCAGCACAACCTTTAGATGTGACTCACAGCAAAAGCTCACCTGACTGTTTGGATCTCCAAGTAAGTTACATATATGTGGCACTATCTTACTCAGTGTTAAACTCTGAGCTCCAGATCTGGGAATAAAGAACAAAAAGCAGCATTATGAATCACAGAACAGGCTCATGTACACAACACAGGTTTGCAGAAATTTTGACTTACGCATTGAGTGTTGCAATAAGGCAGAGACAAATCCCTTCTCTTGTCCGAAAATTCTTGTGTTTGAATCCTCCTAGCATCCTGTCCCACACGTACTGCAGAAGACAGGAAAGAGAAAACATTAGATGGGGTAAAAAACAGATTCTCTTCCAGCAGACATACACCACACCACCTCTGTAGCTCAAATATAAGCTTTACACCCAGCCAAGCAGAACAGGACAAAAAGGAGCAAGATACTTTTAGATCTGACTAATTCTTTGTTTTGTGCTGAGTTGTCAGTAAATCCCCACTACCTAAAACAATACTCATACTTACAGAAAGCAAGTACCTTCCACAAACCTGGTACAGTAACTCTTGACATATACCCATCCCATCCTTAAACCTGGTACAGTAACTCTTGACATACACCTATCCCATCCTTGGGAAATCCATGAGACACACTCCCATGTGTATCCTGTTAGGCAATAGCCTTTCCAAGTGAAGCCAATATCTTACAAAAAGGTGTAAGGAGATGAAGCCATTTCAGACAGAAAGATGGCAGAGACAACCTTCTGACAGCAAAAGGGTTTCCTTTTTTTTACACAGCCAGTAACTCATGCTGTAGAGGGCTGCTGAACATACCTGAGGGTTAGCAGCTTGTTCCATGATTTTCAGCAGCAAGGTCTGATCCTGCTCCCTCACTGAGTCCTTAGAATCTCCCAGCCTATCAAGTAAACTTGGCAGCACTAAGGAAGGAAACAGGAACATTCAAATCCCTCAGGAAAAAACTGTAACAATGGCAGAGCCCCTCTGCTCTCCCCCAAAGCCCAATGGAGGCACTGGCCTTGCCTCTTCAGCAGAGCCTGAAAACCACCAAGAGCCTCCCAAGTGCTCTCCTTGGAAGAAAGACAGCTCTGAGTCCAGCAGCCAGTGCAGGTGCTGGCAGAGTGATGGTGACACTCACACAGAGACCCCTCACCTGTGCCAATCTGGGCCTTGAAGCGATCTTGCAAGCGGGACACAAGCGCAGAGATGATGTCAATCCCTAGGAGAACCACCTGCAAGCACAGAACAGGCAATGAATTAGGAGTGCACTGCATCTATGATTGCTGCTCTGTGCTAAATCCATATGTATAGATGTGCAAGGTACACAAATCATGTGCATAAACCATTTAAGTATTTGCAGTAACTAGCATTTCTAATTAATTGTAATTATTACAATCATAATTAGAAAATGGTACGCACTAAGAGTTAATTATTTACTGGGAGAAATTAAACCAAACACTTGTATGACATAACTGGAATTCAAACAAAGACACCTAGATTGACAGAAGCTTCATAACAGGCTGCAGGTAAGAAAACCTGCTCTATTAACTATGCTTACTTACTAGAACAAGGTACATTACATACTGAATGTACTGTGTAGCTTGCACGTAAAACACTTCTCAAAATCCTATAGATCACGATCGTGCTGGTACAAGACATTTCTCACTAAGTTTTTGGATAAGCACCAAGATTAATCATACCTGGAAATGTTAGGGACAGCCAGGCTGATGAGGTGGTGCCACCGGGGCTGTTCTAATGCAGCCCAGCTCCCCGTACATACACACAAGTGCACATATATACACATATATAGGCACATCGATACTCCCTCTACACAAACAACCAGAGCAGCCGTCATGGCCGCAAGCCTGCCAGAGCTCAAGCAGTGTTTGGACAAGGCTCTCAGGCACATATGGGGTTGTCGGGGTTGTCGTGTGCAAGAGCCAGGAATTGCAGTTGATGATCCTTGTGAGTCACTTCTAGCTCAGGATATTCCATGCTACTGCCATACATATATATATGTATGCATGTATACTCTCTGTACATTCACGCACGTGTGTATATACACAGGTATATGGCTGTACTCGCTGTACACGCACACAGCTGTCTCTATAATCGCCTGTCTGTGCCCGCTGTCCCTGCACATTCCGACCCGGCTGTGCAGGCCCAGCAGCATGGACATCCCTGCAGCCCCGCCTTACCGGAGCGCTGCCGGGGCCGTGCCCCGCACTGCCGCGGCCGCTCGGCAGAGGGCGCGCTCCATCCCCGCTGCCGCCGCGCGGAGGCCCCGCCCTCTATGCAAAAAAGCGCCCGGCTGGCGCGGAGCATTCTGGGTAGCGCCGCCGCCGCAGGACTCAAACCCGGGTCGGAGCCGCCCGGGCGCGCCGGGTCCCGCGCGGTGCGCGCCCCCGAGCCGGGCGTCGGGCAACGGGCGGGCCGGGGGCGCGCCGCCCCTCGGCGGAACCTGGGCGAGGTTCGCGCTCCCGTACGGCCGGCGCGCCCCAGCCGCCGCCAACCGTCCTTATCTGGGGGTTGCGCGGCTGCTCAATGAGCGTATGGCGAGAGCAGCCCTGCTGACGCCTTAAACAACACAGCAGCGCCCGCTTCGTGCGCGGCGCAATTTTTGGAACCTCGCACCGCGGCGTATGCGCGGCGCGTCCTCAACACCGCTCGCCCCGAGCCCAACCGGGCACCGCTGGTGCTGTGCGAGACCCGTGCGGTGCTGCGAGCCCCTGGCACCGCTCCCGCGTCTCCCGGCACCGCTGGCCGTCACCCCTCCCACCCTCCGTCCCCCTCCTCGTCCATCAGCAGCCCTGCTCCCACCAGAGCCCGTGCGGGGCACCCGCGGTGCCAGTCCGCGCCGAACCCCCCACGTTACTCCGCATCAGCTGTCAGGCCACAACCCTCAGCTTGTCACGTGCATTCACTCCAAATTCGGTTCCATAACACTCAGGAACTATGCGTGGTGTGGCAGGGGAAACAGCCTATTACTCAATGCCAAGTCTCTGTGAAAAAAAACCTTCCTAAATACAAGCACCTGGATCCTAACTTCTCCCAACATACAACTTCACCTTCTCCAAAGAGTTCCTGCAGACTTCTCCCTTCACCGTAACAGACCCTTCAACACTGTCAAGTTTTAATTCAACATCAGTTATTCATACACCACCAAAGAAGAATTTTCCTCGTGTTTTTATTACGCTGTTTCCCTTTCACATTCATCTCGCACGCTGGATTTCATCTGCCATTGACAAATGCCCAGCCAGCTGCCCCGAAGCCTATCGCTGCCGGTGTCTGCCAGCTCACTGGGAGCCTCCCGCCTGGGGTCCGGCAGCACAGCCCCAGCAACAGGGTGGGCTCCAGATCCTCATCAGTGGAGAGATGCTTTTAGGGAAAGTCAACGGGACTCTGAGTACCATTCACAGCTGTCTGATCAGACTCCCATCACATCAGCATCCTGCACAGAGATAAGTGTGCTGCCTGCAATTACAGAGATGTGCCCCAGGGATACGTTCGATCCCGGGAGAGGAAGGAATCCATTTCTTCTTCAAACTGCCCGCAAGCCAGGAAGAGTGAGGGGAACTGATGGCTCAAACATGAAAGGAAACACATGCACAGTGCAAACATATCCTGCAGTTCACCCCCAGGATAAGGCCAGGAGGATGAGCTAAGCCTTGCACAACTTTTTGCTGTTGTCCTTATAAATTAGCACAATCATTACGGTGGTGCTTGGACAGCTATTGAGGAAACAGCAACTGGGGTGAGCAAATGTTATTCCCGACTATGCTGGATTTATTTATCAACCCCAAAGTGACACCTGCCTCAGAAGGTCAGAAGCAGAAAGTAGAAATCATGTATGGATTGACAGAGTCAACAGATCCGCTACAGACAGATAACAGACAACGGAGGGCATGGCTGGCAAATGAACAAAGAATTAATTGAATTCCAGCCCTGGCTGCATTGGACTGACTGCACTGAAGAGCCCACCCGTTCACTGCCGGAACAGCGACTGAAGCTCTGCCTGAATTAACACACACCAGGGTCCAGGAGGAACCTCGGGAGCAGCAGTGGCCCTGTCAGCAGCCACCCCACTGCTGAGATCCTGACACAGACCTCTCCCCAGGGAAGCCAGCTGGCAGGCACAGCTCCACACCAAGGCACAGGAAGGGCACCTCTCCATCCGAAATTCCAGATAATGCTGCAATGCTGATAACTAGAGAACTATTACAGGCCTTTACATCAACACAGATCTTTTAGCCTCCCGTTTACACAGGCCCCCAAAAGAGTGATCTCAGAATCAGAGAGTGACAGCCCTCGGCCTGAGGGTCTGCCTCTGCTCATTTGACTCATGAGGTTCCCCAAGACAGTCAATAACGCAAGTTGTGCCACCCAGTATTCAGCTCATTTGGCATCTGCTGCTGCTTTGTCTTGTCTCAGAGTACTTTCTGTAGGCACCAAGGGCTGTCAGCAAACCCTTCTCCTGCCTCTCTCCAACTGCCAGGTCATCTCTCCCAATAAAGAAGCCTCTTGTTAGTTCCAAGGATGCAACACAGTCTTTCCCAATACAGACAATACTTTTTTTTTCCAGACGTCAACAAAAACAAAGTATCTGTCCTTTAATATCAGGGTGATGTTGAAAAACTTGCAGGCAGCTCCTCATATCAGAGAGCAAACAGCCCACCATCATCTGCTCCAGCAGTACATGCTCCAGCATGGCAGACAAGTAAATCCATCCAGTTTAAAACAAGACACAGCTAAACACACTCCCATAAAAGGGTAAAGAAGCTGCACAATCCAGCAACAGCTGATTGAGCACGAAGTGACCACAGTGAATCAGCCTCAGGCTACCCTGTTGGCCTGGACAAACTGGGGAAGGGTGGGGGGAAGAGACAAACCCTTCCCTCCACTCACCACACCATGCCCCCCCAGGGATGTGGTGGTGGCTGCATGAACCTTCATCCCCTCTCTTTGCAGGGAAACAGCAGTGGGCTGTTGCAAAGTTGTTGCACTCTGCTGGCCTCCTGCTGAACCTTCCACACCTGGCAGCTTGGGACCTAAATGGGAATATTGGAGAGAGATTCTACAGCAGCTGTGACACCAGCTTGCTTCATGCTCTTTCAACGTGCTGATTGCCACCACTGGTGACACAGCTTACTATTTCACTTTGAAGTCTGTCTGAGAGGCTTTTTTGGAGAAGAAATGGGAAATGGAAGACAAGACTTCTAAATCTCAATATGAAAAGAAAAAATCATTGTAAGAGTGTTTTTTGGAACAGTTGTTTAGATAATCTTTTGGATTAATAAGCAAAAGCATGGAGAAGCGTTTGTATACTTTCAGTATACTTTTGAAAGAAGGATAACACTTCAGATTACACACTGAGAAGTCAAAGGCAAATACTGATGGCTCACATCACTGCCGGACTGATCAGTGCTGATCAGTCAGACAGGGAGCAGTTTTAATTCCTTGTGACATGAAACATCCACCACAACTCACTCAAGCTGAAGTTAGATGATACCGGCAAATTCCGTTTTGAACTCGGAATTTTGGGTCAGCACAGCAGTAACCAAAGTCCTGTCAGAGAAAAGTGGATTCAGCTTCTGAAACGCTGACTGCTGTATCCCACCTGCACACTACTATAACCACATCCACCCTTGAATAGTCAATTTCCTTCTGCCATTCCAAGACTTAACATTTCATTTTCCAAGGCAGCATCACATTTGCAGTGGAAGCATGAGTCCATCTCCCCAGTCTAACAATCCTCACAGATGCTAAGATTTTCGTAGAACACAATTCGCAAAAACAACACCAGCAAACAAAAAGGCAGCAACAGTAGCATAACTGGTTTTACTGGCATGACTACAAGCTATAGTGAAAGAGCTGAATGGGGAAAAACTTCAAATATATATTCTTGGGTTCTTTGTCTAGATTGATGAGATACCATCCATTCTGTCACAGACACCACCTTTAAAATCCTCAAATTCCCTGATGGAATTAGGTGAATGAAATGAAACCACAAGCACTTGTAAAATAAGCAAAAACCTAGTTATTGAAAGTTCTTCTTCATTTACAAGCCTGGTAACAGATGAGCAACTCAGTAAAAAACGCATAGTTCTACAGTGAAATGAATTCCAGGAGAACTAAGGTCATTTAAATGTTGGGAGATATTAAGAAAAGGTTGTCAGAAATTATCACTACAGAGATGTATTTTTATCACTACTGTTAGGACACAAGGGTACCC